GGTAGAGCGCTAGCCTTGAGCTGAAGAGCTGAGGGACAGCGCCCAGGCCCAGAGTTCAAGCCCCATGACTGACCAAAAAAAAATCTCTAGCAGGCTAATTTTTGAGCAGTTTTAAGTTAATAGACACCTTGAATATTTATAAACTAAGTACTTTAACCATTTTACATGGTTATTGAAAGAAAAGATGGATGATTTGTGGTTTATCAGCAAATTCCTGGGAAGACACCAAAGATCAAATCTCAAGAAAAAATAGACAATATGAACAAACAGAAGTAGCCACAAAAGCCCAGAACCAGATGCTGATTTTAAAAGCCAGTTATTCACCCCAGGAAAAGAAGAGAAAGGAGGAAGAAGAGGAGGAGGAGGAAGCAGAGGAACAACAACTACAGGAGGAAGAGGAAGAAGAAGAAGAGGACGAGGAGGAAGAGCAACAACTAGTACGCATTGTGTGAGACAAATGTTACCCTGATACCAAACATGGCCGAAAAAAGAAGATGGAGACAAACTACGGAGCAATTTATGGATATAGACATCAAGACTGTCAGCAAAATACTAGAAGCTGAAGGGAGTAATACATAAAAAGTATGATTCATCATAACTGGAAATCATATGAAGTATATAATATTGAGTTAACATGACAACTAGTATATCCCAATAATAAAGGATGAACGTCACATGGTAATTTCAATAGATAAACCCAAGACACTTGATAGAATCCAGCAATCCATGTAAAATATTCAGCCATTAGGAATAGGAGAGAGCTTTTTATCAACTTAATAATGAGCATTACAACAAAACAACATAGACAGCTTGTCATAATATTGTGTATTGAGGCTATGTGGTATAGAATGGAGAAAGGCGGAATGTTGGCTCCCAGATCAGGTGAAAGATGAGGATGTTTACTCCTGCTGCATATATCCAACACTCTACTGGGGAGATTAGTCAAGAAAAAAATACAGGACATCCAGTTTGGAAAAGAATTAAAATGTTCCCAGGCAACACTTTTGTGTATAGAAAACACTAAGGAATTAAAAAACAAAAAAACAGAAGACTAGTAAATCAGTTCAACAAGGTTGAGAGTACCAGATTAAGTTACAGGTGTCAACTTTATTTCTATAAAGCACCACTGGGCAACCTGTAGATTAAGAAAAGTTTTATTTGAAATAGATAATTATTTGAAAATAATAGGAACAAATGATGAAACAAGAGGAAAAGCACTTGTTTTGGAGATCAGCGCTTTCTTAAATTACAGAAGACAATTAACTGCAAACACATTATTGTTCAGGATCAAATATTTAATGTTAAGATGGCAATTCTCCAAATCAATCTAGAGAGACAGTGTAATTCCTACCAAAATTCTACCTGGATGCCTTGCAGAAACCAACTAGTTCTAAAATTCAAACTAATCCTAAAATTCATATGGGATGCAAGGGACCCAGGTTAGTGAAAACGCTGAAAAAGAAGAGTTGGATTATTCATAGTGTTTCATGTCCAAATTTACTGTTGATCCCTGGTAATCAAGTCTTATGTAGTACTTGACATAAGGATAGACATAAAAATCAAACAAAGTAATAGAACCAAATCCTTGTGTTGATTTATTTTCAACAAGATACCAAATTCATTCAACAGAGAGGGCAGTCTGTTCAACAAATGGTCCAACTGGATATTAACCTGCAAATGAATGAATGAATGAGGCCTTCACACTGTGTACAAAAATCTCAGACTGGATCAGATTTAAATATAAGAACTGATAAAAATATTAGAAGAAAAATGCAGTAATCTTTATAATTTAGAGTTGAGCAAACACTTCTTAGACATGACACCAAAGCTCAATTAAGAAACTGAAAATATGTGAAAGTTGATTGTAGACATGTCCATCGCTAATAAGATTTTATGTGTGCATTTAAATATATTCAATAAAATTTGTGGATATTTTGAGTAAAAAGTGTGTATCTTGAGCCTGGGAAGGTGGCTCAGTGGTAGAGTGCTTGCCTTGCATGCATGAGGCCATGGGTTCCATTCCTCAGCACCACATAAGCAGAAAAAGTGGTGCTGTGGCTCAAGTGGCAGAGCACTAGCCTTAGCTGAAGAGCTGAGGGATAGAGCCCAGGCCCAGAGTTCAGGCCCCACAACCGACCAAAAAAAAAAAAGTGTGTACATTGAACAAAATGTCTGATATCTTGTTGAGACATTCAGTGATTTATTAATGAATTAAGACAATAAACATCCTTAATTTTGGAAACTAAAGTAATTTCATAAATGGAAAACCATATGACATGCAATTCTAAGGGTATCTTCTGCTTTGGCATTTTCAAAGCATACTGTCAAGATATTAAAAAGAACTCACAGGGAAAATTATTTGCAAATCAGATAATCTGGCAGTGGATTTGTATGTATATATGTAATATATACAAATATATGCACCTATACACATACACATGATATATGAGGTGTTCTTACAACGGAATCATAAAAAGGTCTACCCAGTTTTTAAAATGGACTAAGCATTTGGATCTGCATCTATTTATTCAAAGAAGATAATGAATAAGCATATAAAGAGGTGCTGCAAGGCAATACTAATTATATAGTTGCAAACCTCAAACAATGAGAATTTACTTTGAATACACTAGGGTAACTAATAACAATGTGTTGGTAGGAAGTGGAGAGATTGTAATCTTCATTGTAAAATGGTGCAGCTACTTTTGGACCAATATGGTAGTTCCTCAAATGTTTAAACATAGACCTAATAATGTAGAAACTTTATTCCTAGGTATCCAAGAGAAATGAAAATGCATCTCCACAGAAAAACATACACTGTATGAATGTTCATAGCAATATTATAATAGCTAAAAATTTGAAATAGTAAAAATATCAACTGCTGAATGGTAGAAATTAAAAGTGGCATATCCAGGCAATTATTTGACAATGTAAGAATGAAATGGGAAAACAGGAATGGATCTTGATAATAGATGTCAAATGAAAGAAGACAGTTTATGATTCAGTTATATGAAATGTCCACAATAGGCAAACCTATAGAATTAATTTTGTTTTCACAACAGTATACTGTTAAATAGAAAGCCATGCAGAAAAATCTGTAAGAAATAATCTGTTAAGAAATAAATAAAGATCAACTATATTGATGGAGTGGGGGAAATGGAACTTGAGAAGCAAAGCACAAACTGGACATTCAATCATTGCAGAGGGAAATAATGCCGACAAGTATTTCCTTAAATACTAAGGTGCCGTTCAGTATTACACATGGTGTCCAGACCTACAGTGTAAGCTGCTTGGAGACTAATGACTTACACAGAAAAACAAAAGAGCAAAGGACTTATTAACAGTGAACATGACATCCAGAAGGGAATGTTCCCACTGTAAAATCATGGAAATTATTTAAACATTTGTATGCACCTTTCATAAAGTAAGATACTGTCATAACATTACTATTTTCACTCCCACTATCTAGTCTAGCCTGGTGAATAGGGAAGAAAAATGATTAAATTGACTGAAATTGGGAAACAAGAAAAGAATAGCAAGAATAGGAAAGCTGAGCATGAACTATTACATTGCTAGCTATTTGTGAAGGGTTGGGTGGCCACCTGCATGACTGTATTTAAGGAGATATTTAAGGAGATGATCAGTGGAGAAAGAAAAGTTTGAAGGTATAAAATCTAGGTAAGTCTTTGGGAATAATTTTATAATACAAAATAATGTAAATATAAAACTTTAAATGTTTTTTTTTGGGGGGGGGTCTAGTCGTGGGGCCTGAACTCTGGGCCTGGGCTCTGTCCCTCAGCTCTTCAGCTCAAGGCTAGTACTCTACCACTTGAGTCACAGCGCCACTTCCGGCTTTTTTCTTTTTGCTTATGTGGGGCTGAGGAATCAAACCCAGGGCTTCAGCATGCAAGGCAAGCGCTCTACCACTGAGCCACCTTCCCAGCCCCCAAACCTTAAATGTTTTAAAAATATATGCTCTTATATTTTCCATGACAACTTGGCATTTTCTAAGGGAGTTTAATCTCTGCACTTCCTTGATATTCACGGGTTGTAATGTATTAAGAAGGGTATTATTTGTGCATACTTTTTAGAACTCTTTGTTTTTTGGGGGGATGGGGGTCTGGTCGTGGGGCCTGAACTCTGGGCCTGGGCGCCGTCCCTCAGCTCTTCAGCTCAAGGCTAGCGCTCTACCACTTGAGCCACAGTGCCACTTCCAGCTTTTTTTCTTTTTTGCTTATGTGGTGCTGAGGAATCAAACCCAGGGCCTCATGCATGCAAGGCAAGCGTTCTACCACTGAGCCACCTTCCCAGCCCCACTTTTTAGAACTCTTTACCTGCTCATAAGGCTATGGGTGTCAATAACAAATGAAACCATGTAGTCGACACTACCAGTGTTTAAATGAGGTAGGTAAGTTCGTGTGATTTATAAACAGCCCTTAAATGTAACCATTGTACTTTAAGCAAAGTCTTTCTATTTGAAACAAGTGGACAGAGACACAGCTGTTAGCTGGGAAGAACAATGCTCATTCAGACCCAGAACTTCATAGCTGTTGGTTCAAAATCTGCTCAATTATCTGTCAATGTTTCTTTTCTTCCAGTGAGTATCATGACTCCTTTCCATTGTACATGATAAGCTTTCACTCCCTCACTTACCTGGCTTACATTTCTTATTTGTGCTCAATAATTTGTTCAATAAGCATTTTCCTCATTCTATAACTTTCACATCTATATTAAAAAACTAGCATGCCAAGGATAGACTACAAATTGAGATTGATATATTAATTTCATTTGCTTTTGTTTTCTGATTCACTGTTTTCTTAATGTTATAGAGGAATCAAGTAGATCCCCTCTTAAGCCAAATAAATACCCTCTCTTTTGATACTTGTGAGAATGTGTTTATATAGTAGTGCTTTTCTAACTGTACAACCATTATACTTTATCCATTTGTTTATGTCCTCAGATGACTTGAAGAGATCATTACTAGAATACGTCCAAGTGAGAAAATGCTAGGGGAAAATTCACTACTTGGAGCTTTTTTTTTCTTTTTCCTGGAAGGATTATCCCAGTAGCCGAGGCTACATATTTTTCTCTTTGTTCAGCCTTATAATGTATCTGACTTCCCTCCTGGTCTTGGGGCTTGAACTCTGGGCCTGGGCGCTGTCACTCTACTAGTTGAGCCACAGTGCCACTTCCGGTTTTCTAGTGGTTTATTGGAGATAAGAGTCACAGACTTTCCTGCCCATGCTGGCTTTGAACTGTGATCCTCAGATCTCAGCCCCCTGAGTAGCTAGGATGACAGGTGTGAGCCCCGGTGCCCAGCTCAGCACTCTCGTTTTAATCACTGTCTTAGATTCATACCTCCAAACCCTCATGTGTTTGTCTCTTAGAAATCTCTCTTCCATAGATATTTGTTACATATCTGCTTTTCTTCCTACTTTATTGGTCATCTTGCTGTCATCACAGAATACCATCCTCTTTTCTGGGTGTGCTGTGCAGATGTACAGGTCCCTTGCCATGGGCTGTGTGCTTCTGGCTGTGATGGTGGATGATTGCTTGTTGCCATTTGCAAACCACTGAGATACTCCATTATCATAAACAGGCAAGTCTGTGTGCAGATGGCAGCTGTCTCTTGGGTGATGGGCTGTCTGATTGCCCTGCTGGAAACCAGCTTTGCCCTGCAGACACCCCTCTGTGGGAATCTCATTGATCACTTCACCTGTGAAATCCTGGCAGTGCTCAAGTTAGCTTGTACAAGTTCACTGCTCACAGACATGGTCATGTTAGTGGTGAGCATTATCCTCCTGTCCATTCTGGTACTCTTAATTTGTCTCTCTTGTATCATCATCCTTTCTACTATTCTGAGGATCAACACAGCAGAGGGAAGAAGCAAAGCCTTTCTGCTTGTGGTGCACACTTGACTGGTGATCTTATATTATGGGGCTGCTCTCTCCATGTACCTGAAGCCTTCTTCATCAAAGTCACAAGAAATAGACAAAATCATCACATTACTTTATGGGGTGCTCACTGCTACATTGAACCCCATAATTTATAGTTTAAGAAACAAAGAGGTCAGAGATGCTGTGAAAAAAATTACTGGGACATCTACCATTGCCTCAACCACAAGAATGTTTCTGACAAGCCTTGTGGGGGCCTGTGGTTTTGTTAAAGGTGTGCCCTTGATGGAACTCATGAGGGACTGTAGACCCTGTACAATTCCATAGAAGTCTGACTTGAACCTTACCTCAGTGAGTTATGAAGCATTACTGTGCAGTTATAAAAAAGCAATTGACTCTGGATAATAGTTGATTTCAGTATTCACTTATCAATGTGTCCTGTCTTTGGGGTTTTATGGTTGTAAGAATTTTTTTTGCATGTTTGCCAGGCCTGTGGCTTGAGCTCAGGGCTTGGGCACTATCCCTTGGCTTTTTTGCTCAGGGCTGGTGCTTTACCACTTGAGGCACACCTACACTTCTGGCATACCTACACAATTGAAGGTAAGAGTCTCATGAATTTTCTGCCCAGGCTGGCTTTGAATTGTGATCCTCAAATCTCAGCCTCCTGAGTAGCTAGGATTACAGATGTGAGCTACTAGTGCCTGTCTTGAGAATCTGAACTTTAGAGTCATTGAATATTTTCTTAAGAAGAGAATTTCAGTAAACTTTGAGTCAGTGAATTTGAGTGCCAGAAGAAATTTCTTTGTTTAAATTCTTTCTTGAATAGGGTAGAAATATAAAGAAACAACAACAACAACAAACCTCAGTAAAGGTTGGTCTTGATTATGAAAGAGAAGCAAAAATCAAATACTTGGTCAACATTACAGAGCTGCAAAACTTTGTTGACAGCATCTTTTGACTCCTCAGCCAGAACTTATTCTGCTACATGGTAGAGTTTCCCTGATATTCTTGCTAATCCCAACTCCTGACTAAAACTTCTTGTCTTCTTGAGTAAGGATCCAGTGTTGTCTGTTTAATTTGTTTGTCTGACAACATTGCTTTTCTAAACATATAGACATTTGTGCAAATTCTGTTTACTTCTATGACACCATCCCATCTGTATATTAAGGTCTTTTTCATTTATGTTTCTACTTTTTCTTCAGTGGATGATTGACTTCACAAAGGCAAATGTTTCTATTATTTCGGGCCTTTAATGTGTATAAGCCATCCTTTGGAAATTAATGAAGTTACTGGATAAATTAATAACACAATTTCTTTATTTGTGAATAAAGTACCACCATGAAAATCATGATGAAGGAATAACAAAGGCAAGGAAGCCAATTTGCTTTGCAAACATCTAAGCATTTACTGAGAGCTGACAAGGAAATTTTTTTTTTTTTCCGGTCGTGGGGCCTGGGCCTGGGCGCTGTCCCTGAGCTCTTCAGCTCAAGGCTAACACACTACCACTGAGCCATAGCACCACTTCTGGCTTTTTCTGCTTAGGTGGTGCTGAGGAATCGAACCCAGGGCCTCACGCATGCAAGGCAAGCACTCTACCACGGAGCCACCTTCCCAGCCTATGACAAGAAAATATATTCCCTAAAAGTATTTTTCTTCTTAGGTACCTCAAGTGCCACAATCCCCTTGGCAAGTTCAACTTTTTTTTTTTTTTTTTTTTTTTGTCGGTCATGGGGCTTGAACTCTGGGCCTGAGTGCTGTCCCTCAGCTCTTCAGCTCAAGGCTAGTGCTCTACCACTTGAGCTACAGCACCACTTCCAGTTTTCTGGTGGTTTGTATTAGAGATAAGAGTTTCACGGACTTTCCTGCCTGGGCTGGCTTTGTACTGCAATCCTCAGATCTCAGCCTCCTGAGTAGCTAGGATTACAAGCGTGAGCCACCAGCATCGGCTTTCAATTTTATTTTGAGTAAAATTTTATATTAGATTCGAGTGGCATATTAGATTGGCGTAGAGCTAGATTGTCTGCTTCCTGGAATTTGTTGTGTGTGATGCCAAGTATAAGTAGGAATAGCCAGACCTACAGAAACAGTCAATGTTGTTACTTAAATGCATGTAGCGTAAGAATGCAGAGACACAGAGATGAAACACCTGGAATTAATCTGTAGATTGACATGAAGCCAATTATTTCTGACTAGGACATGAACCATAGTGGGATAGTAAAACCGAATAGAAACATGAACCTGACTGTGGTGATAAAACAGAATAGAAATGCCTCAGATGGCAGAAGAGGACCTAGGTGAAAACCTGGCAAATAGATTCCTAGCTTCTCTTGGCTCAGACAGTATTGGACACAGCTCTACAAAGCTATTTGTGAATAACAAATAGATGGATATAAATATAAATATATTCTATTCCTTGTATTCCATACAGAAGTTAACTACTAGCAAACTATTTCCTTACATTTAGTAACAAATCAACCCATAGTTACTACAATTGTTATTTATATACAAATCAGAAGAGATGATTTTAGAGCATTCTTTCTTTTTTTCATCAGTACTGGGGTTTAAATTCAAAGACTGGACAGTTGCCGCTACCATTTGGGCTGTAGCTTCCACCCTTTTTGCTTTCATTTACTTTTCAGATAGGAGCTTAGGCTTTTGTTGGAATCAAGCTTTAGATGGTGATCCCACCTCCGCCTCCTATGGAATGAAGATTACAGCTGTGTGCCACCATGCCAGGACTTCTTTATGGTGATCTTCAGAGAGGGATTCATTTGACAGAGAAGGTGAAATTACTTCCCAGAGCAGAATAAGCCTGTCTTCTATGAGTGATTCCATAACCCTATTTATGCTTTAGAAAAATCCAGTCATGTAATTTCTCAAAGTCCTTAACAGTTTTCCATTGCCTTAATACATTGGAAAAATCTGATTATAAATCCATAGCAGTTATCATTACCCTAATATTTGATGTCCTTATTATGACATATGAAGACTTTAATAATTTGATTTCTTACCATTCACTTCCATTTCTTATACATGCCAGACTTCTTAGTTTCATGAATACATTGTCTTTTCTCTTGCTGCTTTTAAAAGCATTGTTCATGATTTATAGTGTGGTAAGTATTTGTGGTGTTACTTGTTTGGAGGTATCTCTCTCCGTGTTTCAGTTCATCGTATTAAGAACTTGATGAATTGAGGATGTAGCACAAAGCCTAACATGGAAACAGGCAATGCCTTCCTTTTGTGAAGGATTTAGTCTCCAGTGAATGTCTGTTGAATAAAATTATACATGCAACAAATTCTTGGCCATTCTATTGAGTACTTGACTGTTCTGTGTTTAATACCTCTGATGGCTAGGAGTAGTTAAATGGTTGTGGTAGTGATGAAAAAGAAGAATATAATTATCATTAGGGCTTTACTTCCAAATTGGAATGGCACATTGGTAAATAAGGGAAATATCCTGGACATCCCTGTCATGGGCCTTTGGCACTGTACTTGACGTAAGATAGCATGATCCAGATAAGAGTATACTGGGAGTGAAAGCGTGTGTCAAATGACTCAGTTGGTCAGATCTGATGAACTTGGCAAGGGTGCTCAAAAACAGAATCCATATTTTGTCTGTTCATAGAGGGGATTCAAGCATTCCATGAATGGTTTCAGTTCCTTATTTGAAAATGCTAGCATTGGGGCTGGGAAGGTGGCTCAGTGGTAGAGCGCTTGCCTTGCATGCATGAGGCCCTGGGTTTGATTCCTCAGCACCACATAAGCAGAAAAAGCTGGAAGTAGTGCTGTAGCTCTAGTGGAAGTATGCTAGCCTTGAGCTGGAGAGCTGAGGGACAGCGCCCAGGCCCAGAGTTCAGGCCCCACGACCGACAAAAAGAAAAAAAAATATGCTAGCATCATTGGATTTTAGTATTCCTTTATTCTCAGAAATATGAATCTTCTAGATATATTTAACTGATAACATTAGATACAGTCTGAATGAATTCCTGAGAAAGAAGGTAAGTGTTTCTGGAAGGTGAGTGATCTCAACATGAATAGAACCTTCTGGAATGGTGGGTTGCAGTGTCTCTCTTTTTCCTCCCTGCCCCCAACCTCCTGATAAGGCATCATTGAAGTAGGAAGTAATTATTGTGTGAATATTATAGATATGAGCCACCAGTGCTTGGTGAATTGTATAGTTTTTAAGATGTCTAAAATGATACATTTTATTACAATAATAAATTACTGTGGACATCAATGATCTCAAAAGCTTTGAAAGATTAGATGAAATAGACAAAGTTACTAGAAAAAAATATAACAACTCAATCATAAAGAGAATCCCTGAGAGTCTTATTACTCCATAGTTAAAAATGTTTCCACCAAGCAGGGCTGGGAAGGTAGCTCAGTGGTAGAGCACTTGCCTTGCATGTCTGAGGCCCTGGGTTTGATTCCTCAGCACCACATAAGCAAAAAGAAAAAAGCTGGAAGTGGCGGTGTGGCTCAAGTGGTAGAGCGTTAGCCTTGAGCTGAAGAGCTGAGGGACAGCACCCAGGCCCAGAGTTCAGGCCCCACAACTGGACCCCCCAAAAAAAATGTTTCCACCAAGAATCTTATGTTTTACTGAATATTCAAGGAATAAGTAATTCTAACACTGGAAAAACAGATCCAGAGTATAGACTTGGGAAGACTTCCAAACTCGAACTCACCAGTACATGGTTGCATTTACTCTAGAGTGCCAGCCTCATCTTACTGGTTCTCATGAAGTAATTTGTAGTTTCTTCAGGTACCGCTAGCATTTTATTAAAAAGCAATGTCTTTCACAATCACCCAAGGCTGTTGGACCACACTGACACCTATGCAACTGGGCAATGTTTTATGAAACCTTGAAAGAGCATCGAGCCACTGAAGGAAAAATTGGGCAAGGATAGGTGCCAGCCTTCCTAAGGTTTGAGAATTAATCTGTATTCAAACATTAACTTTCATAGATTCCCCCAAACCTCTTCCCACAACTTGGAGGGCAGAGAGAGGATACAGGGCAGATTCTGGGGGGAGAAGAGAGAGTAAAAAGCATTTCTGACAATGACCTAATAATCCCACCATGCACTGAGAATTTTAACTCTGGGCTACCCAGAGATCCCTTCAGTCTGTGTATGGCTATGCCAGTAACTTGTGTTCTGGTTTGTGCTAACTGAATCTATTGCATGATGCTTGTGTCTGCTTTACTAGACTTGTATTATCCCTTTGTGTTCACCTACAGGCTCCACCCCGGGAATGGACAATCCTCTATAATCCAGGATAATAAGGAATGGCATTCTCCTCTGCTGATTCCTGCTGTAGCAGAGGCGGGGAGCGGCAGTGCAGAGGGTGATGGACACGTTCCCTCCAAAGGCATGGGCCTTCTGTTCTGGGAATGTCAGGAAGGATAAAGCCAGGAGAAGGCATTGTGTAACCCACCTGATGGTTTTTGTGGCTCAAGGGAGCCCTTTCTGCTTTTGCGTGCCTACCATCAACTTGTAGAACTTGTTATAAACACAGACTCCTGGGTTCCCCTTTCAGTAATTCTGATTGGATAGTTCTGGGATGGGCCTAAAAAGTGTACTGTCACAAACACCCCAGAAAAGACTCCTGTAGGGAGAACAAGGGCCACACTTATAGGATCAAAGTCCATGGTTTTCAATAGAAAGATTACTCAATCACTCTGAACTCCCTATGAAACTTCAAAGTATTTGGAGTATAAAAAATTACTTAAGCTTGTAAACAGCACTTTTGTTGGTGTGTGTGTGTGTGTGTGTGTGAGCAGGTCCTGGGGCTCAGAGACTGGGGCACTATGCCTGAGCTTTTGTGCTCCAGGCTAGCCTTCTATCATTTGAGCCACAGCTCCACTTCTGCCTTTTAGGTGGTTAATTAGAGATAAGAGTCTCATGGACTTTGCTGCCTGAGCTGACTTCAAACTGCAGTCCTCAGATCTCAGCCTCCTGGGTTGCTAGGATTATAAGAGTGAGCTATTGGCACCCACAGGCAGTTGAAGCAGAGAAGCTCTCAGTCAGTCCTGGCATGGTCAGTCATGTTTAAATTGTGTGGTTCCCCTGAGTGTTTTCATACACTTAATTTGGTGAAAAGCAAATGGTAGCTAAGCACGCTGGCTCATACATCTCATCTCAGCTACTTGGGAAACTGTGATTGGGAAGATCATGGGAAAATCAGGTCCTAAGACCTCATCCCAACACTAGCTGAGTATAGTGGTGTGTGTCTGTGATCCCAGCTACAGAAGGAAAAGTATAAAATAGGAGGATCATGGACCAGGTACAGTCTAAAAGTGAGACCCTATCTCAGCAATCACCAGAGGGGGAAAAAAAAAGCATGGTTGTATGGCTCACGGGACACCCATCAAGTGTGAAGTCTTGAGTTCAAACGAAAACCCAGAAAAGGTCAGATGCGGCCCCCAAAGCGAGGGCCAGTGAAGGTGCTTGGGTCTTAAAAGGCTTTCAAGTGGAAAGATGACAGAAGTTGGGTTATGGGGAAAATGAAATCAAGCATTCTCTCGAGACAAAGAGCATGAAATAAAGTCTGCTTTTGGGGACTAGTGTTCAGCCACACCATGCGGTTTCAACTTAGAACCCTGAACTTTGCATCTTGAATGCTCATGGATTTTCCTCAGTGGTGTGTCCTTGGAATCCATGGATTCTAAGGATCTCCTGTATTCTGAGCCTTCCTCAGCTCTCAAAGCTCTAGTGCTACTCAGTGCTGAAGTCAATTTCCCTTCCACTTCCATTTTCCCTAAGGAAACTTCCTGAGAAGAAAAGTTCTCTTACTAACAAATCACAATGGTCTTTTCCCATGCTCACTCAACCGAGTCTGCCCACAGAGCAGAGTCCTGCTGGGTCATATTCAAACTGTGTGCTGTTTATACCTCCGGAGTCCTAAATTATAACGAAGCTTTCTAACACCCAACTGTCTCCAGCTCAGTGACTTCCACCTGACCTAGTAGGCTGTGCCCTAATCAAGAAAAAGTAAAGAGGGATCTGTGTGTTGCTGCAGGAGTCAGAGCGACCATCCACCATAGCGGATCATGTTAGATGGAATGTACCACTCCACGTGGAATTAGTTTGTGGAGTCACGGAGTGCTTCTAGAAGGAAAGTATTTCATCAAAGTCCTTTCCCATTTCCCCGCTAGAATTTGCTCTCATTCAGCCACAGGCAAAAGTTAGCGCTGGATGGAATTCACATGTGGGGAAGAGCGTGGTGATGTAAGCAAGGCAGGGATTCACAGGGCTGTCTGTGGGTGACACACTGGACGCAGATATTTTCCAAGGACCTTATTCAAATGATTTCCCGTTTTGTTTTTATTTGAGCTGCATGGTCAACGAATAGATCTATTCCTGTGAAACCATTCGTGCAATATCTTGTAGTATATTTTTTGACTGCCTTCCTGTTTCATCCAGCCTCTTTTTTTTCAGTTTATGCAAACAGTATAACGTTGACAGAAATCCATATATGCCAAGTAATAGTGAATATTTCTACCACATTTATCTAAAATGTGGTTGATGGGGCAGCAGCCGATCAGAACTTCACTGGCAATACATAATCCATTCGGTGTGCATCTGTCTATCTACTTAGACCTTTCTTATGCAATGCTGTTCCAATTCCCAAGTTTCATTGTGTTGGAGAACCACCTAGTGTTATGGGCTGAATTTTCCTTGTACCTCAGAATGTGACTACATTGGAGAACAAGGCTTTAAGGAGGCAACTCAATTAAATGAAGACCCACCATTTGGGTCAGTCTTACTCCAATATGAGTGTTGTCAGCGAAGAAACACTAATTGGAAATTACAAACTAAGGTATGGTATTTTATGGAGACCTATAACTCTTACAGCTGGAAGGCAGAGAAAGCAAAGGACCAAGGCCAAGAATTACATGTGAGAGTTGTGGACCTAAACCAAGACAAGTCTGTAGTGCCAAAGTTAGGAAAGAGCAGGACCCCACTTGATTCCTGAGAGTCTTGAATCTCCAGATTTCTCCAGGTCATTAGAGCCTGCGTAAGAGGCCTCCTCTCCTTTGAAAGGGCTTACATGGCCTCCTTGCCTGAAGATGCTTCAGCACACTCTTCTCTTTAAGATAACTTGTGCCTCTATCAAGATCTGCCCTTATCTCCCATCCTGGGCACAAAGATGAGAACTAGGGTGAAACTGCAAATTACCCAGCTAGAGATGTGCTGAGCCTGAAAGACAGGAAAGGGACAGAACCCCAAGGTGTCATCAGCACGGAGCAGTGGAAGCTGGGGGAAAACCAGGATTGGGTTCTCAGGGGGCTGAGCATTCAGGATATCTCAATCCTGAATTCTCAGGAAGAGGATTTGTATGAACAATGCAGCAGCACTTCATATACAGTACCGATGTGTTTGCCTTCTCCCAAAACATGCCTTTCCTCCAGTTGAATGCTTCTGCATCTAAATAGCTCTAAATTTGGGTGTGGCCTTCCATTGTGAGACTATGCCCATTTTAATATTGCTGGGTATGTGTTTGAAGACACGCCAATTCCTTTCTTGAGTAATTCCTATTTGTTCCATAGTCAAGAACCAAGCATGCTTCACTGTCCTCTTACTCAGTCTTTCCATGTTTGAAGTTTAGATGACATTTGCTAGTCTTTACCAGCTTTATTCTCTCTGTTTAGAATTGCCACATATCTGTTTACTTTAGTGAAGCAAAAACAGACGATTAATTCTTAGTGATGTTACTTTTATTAGAGATAGTCCTGAAAAGAGCAGCTTTAACAAGCCCCATTTATTCAAAAGGCAGACTTTTAAAATGGAACACAGACTTTGGAAAATGGAATATTGAATATAATAATCAAAATGTGGTTGATTTTATCTCAAAAATCTCCCAAAGCTTTCTTCCTTTCCTTTTCTTTCCTTACTGTCCTTCCTTTTCCTTCCTTCCTTCCTTCCTTCTTTTCTTTTCTTTCTGACAAAATAGCCCAATTTGTCCTCAAGGATCTTCCTACGTCAGCCTCCTGAGTGCTGAGATTATAGGTAAGTATCCCTGACTTAATTTTTTTAGGATATCAAAACAGGAAGAAAAGAATACATAATACATTTAAGTAAAATGGACCACACATCTTCTCTAGCTTAGTTCGA